ATAAACATTTCTCTTATGTTGACACAACAGATATTTTTTTACTCCTGCTTAAAAAGGAGTGATAGAAAAAAGGAGCAAAATCGTGGGGCTAAATAACCCATTTTTGTGAAGTGGGTAGCACTTTGGGTGGTATTAGTATAGTCTATTAATAGTGTATAGTAAGTTTTTCTATTTGTTACCCTAAGACACAGGCAACACCCGTTTTTTTTATGGGATGTTTCTCCTGAGTAGAGGTTTTTTCAGTCATATATAGAGGAAATCATAGAAAACAGTGGAAAAAAGGGAGATTTTTGTGGTTAAAGGGGTTCAGTCCCCTGCCGATTTTGCCATGAGTGGTTTTTTTTTTATTGTTGATTGCATGCTAGAGACAGGGAAGATTTTAATCAGTCTTCCCGTCTTGATAGTGTTCAAACTCTTTTTTTTTGATATCCCAAGCAGAAGCAGCAGGGATGTTTTAAGGGATGGTGCCAGAAGGAGATGCATCAGTTGAAAGCATCGTCAGAGGTGGGTGGGGACCCACTATTCTAATAAACTTTGTTATCGTACGACAAACAGTATATCCGGGGGAATTCTGGGGAAACAAGGGGGGGTGGGGGTAATAACGAACATGTTTATACCCTGCCCTTGTTTCTACAACAAAATAGTTCCAGGAGGGGTTTGGTGGACTGTTGTGAGTGGCATCCTGGGGGAGAGCCGAGCAAAAACCTCAGTGAAAATTGGTTTTCCTTGCTTTATTCTGCATTATTAAATCTTTTAATTAACGAAATGTATTCCGTAATTTTTTTCTCATTTACTCTCCTGTCCTCTATGTTCTTCTTCATCTGTTCATATAATTTCCAAAATTTGCTGTTAAAAGGTTCGTTTGTGCCTCTGAGTGTGTATGTATGTGTGTTTGTGCATATGTATGTATATATGAGGGGTGTACATATGTGCAATGTGCATGTATGTGTAAGAGTGTGTGCGCACGTGTGTCAGTGTGCATGTGTGCACGTGTGTGTGTGTGTGTGTGTGTGTGTGTGTGTATGTGTGTGTGTGTGTGTGTGTGTGTGTGTGTGTGTGTGTGTGTGTGTGTGTGTGCTTGTGTGCTCTTCCAGGAGTGTGACAGCGTGCGTAGACACGATCACATTTCTAAATATCACCGAGTGTTTTCATATAAGTTAGTCCGGGTTCCATTGTGAGCCAGTTCCCACCCTGAGTGGTTTATGACCCAGGGTTTCCCACCAGGGCAACCATACACTCTTCTTCTTTTTTTTTCCTCTTTCTTTTTTTCCTCGCGATTTCCTTGCGTTATTAACTCATTTTTTTTTAATAATTCCACTTTCTTTGCTTTCAAGCCGCCTTGTTGTTTTGAATGACGGGATTGCTCTCTCTCTCTCTCGTTCATTCATATCTTCACTCTGTGTTTGTCATTTCTCTCTCTCTATCTTGTCTCTGTCTATCTATATACAGCTTATCCTTTTTTTACGTACTGTTTCCTCTTGCTTCTTTCAGTAGCATTTTCTATCCTCACTTGTTGATTTAATTCATTAATCTTTATAATTTCCCCTCATTCTCGTATACAGTTTTCCCCTTCTTCACTGTATTTTACTTTCCATTACTCCAAGTGTATCATTTTTTTTTTTTTAACACAGGGTTTGACAAGGTTAAAGATCATCTCTCTCTCTCTCTCTCAGTTAGTACAATTTCCTGGTTTCTCCGTTTGCATCCTTTCCCTCTCCTATTTTTGTATCCTTTCCCTTCGCTCGCTACATATCCTTTCCCCTCTCTCGGTATATATCCTTTCCCCTCTTTGCTCTCCCCTCTGACGTCCTCTCCAATTAAACACTCTGTCGGCTTCCATCGCTTCCTGACACGATTTTTGCCTTGCTTCCCCTCGCTCATCAAACAGTTTTCTCTTCCACCTATTATACCCCTCTCTCTCTCTTCTCTCTCTCTCTGTCTCTCTCTCTCTTTTCCTTTTTCTCTCTCTCTGCCTCTCTCTTTGTCTTTGTCTCTCTGTATCTCTCTCTCTCTGGTTATTAGGTCATTGCTACTTGTGGACTTTTATCCCTTTCTACTTTCTCCATCTCTTCTTTGTCTCCTTTTATCCAGGTATCTTATTTTTCAATCGGTCATCAACCTCCCCTCTTTCACATACCCGTCTCTAGACAGGTTATATTTCCCCTTTCTCTACCTTCATATTCTCTCTTCCTCTTCTGCTCCTCTTTGCTCACCTCTTTCTCCTTTTTCTCTAGGTTACGTTAGGTAAGGTTCGTCAGGAAACAGGACAAATGTTTCCTGACGCGGGTCTCAGTCATATGATGACCCGCAGCTGGAGTTTTTGGTCATCTGACCGAGGCCTTCCGCTGGCTTACCCCTCCACCCTTTTAAAAATTAAGGTTACAATTATAACCATTTTTTTTCTTCTCTGCAACTTTTTTTTCTGTGAGCTTCTCGCTTTTCTTCTTTTCCTACTCCCATTCACATCGTCCCTTGATAGCCTTTTTTCATCTTCTCTCCTTCACTTCTTTCCTGTTTTCTTTTTCTTCTTCATTCCTCCCTCCCTCTTACATTCCCTCACTCCCTCCATCTCTTCTTCCCACTTTCCTTAATTTCCTCCCTACCTCCCTCCTACCCTTCCTCCCACCCTCCCATCCCAGGAAGAGAACCGATCGATAATTTAACGCGGAAGGTCACCCCGCTCACTACCGGAGACCGCAACCAATAACTTGAGAGAGAGAGAGAGAGAGAGAGAGAGAGAGAGAGAGGAAGGAGAGAGAGAGGGAGAGACAGACAGACAGACAGAAAGAGAAAGGATGGAGATGGTAACACGTGGAGGAGAGAGGGGGGGAAGGAAGATGGAAACATGTTACACTTGGAAGAGAGAGAGAGAGAGAGAGAGAGAGAGAGAGAGAGAGAGAGAGAGAAGAGAGAGAGAGAGAGAGAGAGAGAGATAAGTGAAGAGGAAGAAGGATATGAAGAGAGGTGGCGCAACAAACCGGGGAAAAATTACGGTAATAATTTTAGAGTTTGTGAGAAAATCAAAAGACGAAAGGGAGACAAGAAAGTAGATAGGAAAGAAGGAAATAAAAAAGGGGGGAAAAGAATATTATGGAAGAAAGGGTGTAGAGATCACTGAAAGGGTGGAAGAAGGGCAGGGAGCGTTGGAGAGAGCGAAGAAAGCAGAGATGGAAGGAGGGAGAGGAAGTTGGTCAATTAGGAAGGGAAGGAGAAAAGAGGGAGGGAGGGAGGGAGGGAGTGAGGGAGGGAGTGAGGGAGGGAGTGAGGGAGGTAATTACACAAGCTTCTGCAATTATGAATTTGTTATTTTAATTTAGAGGGAGGTAGACAGGATTCCAGTAGGTACTAGATAAGTTCTAAGATTCGATAGACACATTAGTAAATAGGTAGATACACAAATGATAGATAGGATTCAGGCAGTGAACGTCAGTCTTCTTTCAACTAATTTAGTAAATATAACCTATACCGTTTCTGCCTTCTCGAAAACTTATCGCTCCCTAAGACCCACTCTACTCTTAGAGAACTGGTATTTGTATCTTCTACATTCAACACAGTATGTTAACGTCTCCACACTACGACTGCCTCTCTGAACACAAACACGAGCGATCCACAATCTAAACATCGCCAGGAATCCCTCGTAATCTATCACAACCACAAATGCATCACAATACGTGATTAAAACAACACCTGTTTGATCAAAATCAATAGTTTTTATTGCTGCATATCATGCAGTGTTTTATATTGTAATGTTTATCACTCTTTCTAAATCCAAACACCATTTCTAGCCGCATTAAGCTCATCAAACTAATCCTTAGTTGTTGAATCCCACACAATTGCAGGGTAGCTCAGTCTTCAATAACTCCACCGAACTAACTTTCAGGATGCAGCTGAACAACACCTACAACATGGGAAGACATCCAAATGAAAACGCTCAAACACACACACACACACACAGTGATAAACAGTCCCTCTAAATATCTTCTCTAAAATGTGGTCAGGCTCCACTTGGATCCTACGTGACCTTGTATAGCAACTGTGGGTGTGCGTGTGTGTGTGTGTGTGTGTGTGTGTCCCAGGGAGGGCTATCATCACTTGGTGGTGGTGAAGTTGTCAAGACTGACGACGTCCCTTTAACTCCCTCGAAGGTGCTCTAGTGGGGCAGGCTGGAGGCCTCTATCACACTCAGGATGGTGGTGGTGGTGGAAGTGGTGGTGGAGGTGGTGGGTGTGGTGGTGGTGGTGGTGGTGGTTTAAGTGGAGGTTGTGGTGGTGGAGGTAGTAGTGAGTGCAGGAGTTGTTTTGATGAGCCTAGCAGGAACTAGGGAGAAAGGAAAAAAAAAAACGCTGAGGAGTGACCCAAAGTCGCTCCTGCTAGGCCGTGTTTGGGACAGGAGAGAGAGATAGCAAGTTAGGTAAGGAACAGCTGGAAGTTGTTTTGGTCGAGGGGAAGGGAGGGAGGGGAGGCACGCTCACGGAGGTAGAAGTGAGGGAAAGAGACAGGGCAGAAGCATCACCTGCTCGGGTAGATTCATAGGGGCAACACGCTGGCTACAGGTGTGTTATGTCAATCACTTATACAGCCTTAATTACGGCATGTAATAATTTGTGCTGGGCTGCCACCAGGGTCGCAGGGCAAGGAGGGGAGAGGCTTAATACGTCACGTGACCAGTTTGAGCCAATGGCGTGAGCAGAGAGCAGGAGGCGGGACCAGGGGAGGCGGGGCTTCCTCGTGTGGGCGGGGACCTCAGGCGGCCCCGCCTCCCCTGGGTGAGAGCGCCTTGGCTGGCTGTTCTGCAGACAGTGTTTGAGCTGCCGCGGCCTCAACACACGCTGGCTGTTTTTTGCCGCGGCTCCTGCTCCTGTGCGTGCTTGCTCCATGCGGCGGCCGACCCAGTGCCACGCCAGCTAATGTGTGTGTGTTGTTCTCTCTTTCCGATCGTGTGTGACTGTGCGGCACCCTGGCGACGGTGGACTCCTTACCGTGGCGGCACCACCATGCAGTGGGCAGCAGCAGCGAGGGAGGAGGACTAGACAGGATGAACGGCTCACTCTATGAGGACTCGGCCAGTACACGAGGTTTGGAGCCCACCGGCCAGACACCGCTCCACATCCCGGCCAAGCGTGTGGCCACCACCCTGGCCGTCTCCACCTACCCGCACCCGCCCGAGTGCCCCGCGGGGCCGGACTCGGGCGCTGCGGCCGGAGTCATCCGGCACTCACACTCCACACAGCCCTGGAACTATCAACCCGACCATGCCGCCGCAACCGCCCCCTTCGACTCCCAGTACGGCCAGGCTTTCTGCCGAGACGGCGTCACGCCCACCTACTACAATATTGCGGATTCCAGAATGGCTGACCGCAAGACTCTGGCCTTCTGGCCAAACAAATACGAATACGCGCCGGGACCATCCTCGATGGCCACGGAGTCATGTCAAGCCTTCGCCGCTCAGACGTGGTGCAACTACCCTCCCTACGGGCGTGTTGGGCACGTGGATGCCCACGGCCAGCCTGTGCCATACCTGACGGCGGCAGACGGGGCACCAAAGTCTGCCATGGAGGCCGCTGCTGGCTACCCTCACGACGGCTACCTAAGGAACTACCCGACAGCGGAGAGTATGCCCCCAGCACCTTACCCTCCAGGTATGTAGCAACACTAGGGTGCAGCCCCTCACTGTGTCCTCCTACCCTATCATACCCTGATGCATCTGTTAACTGTGCCCACTGCTGTGTGGGCAGCAGGAGGCTGCACTGTGTCTAGCACATCATAAACCTTCTTACCCCGGGCTTCTTTCTACCTCACACCCACCATAAAACGCATCTCTCTCTCTCTCTCTCTCTCTCTCTCTCTCTCTCTCTCTCTCTCTCTCTCTCTCTCTCTCTCTCTCTCTCTCTCTCTCTCTTTCTCTCTCCCATAATTATCACGGAATGTGTGTTTGAGGGATTGCATGCTGATGCTATTGTTGCATCTCTTCCCACCTCCACTACTGTCAGTGACCAGTGTCCAGCCACATCACTGTGTGTTCATCCCTCACAAACCGCAACGCATTCATTAAGCCCTCCAGCTGTTCCCTTATCCTCTTGTGTCTCCATTCATTCCTTGCTGTGTCTCCATTCCTTCCTGCCTTCTTTCCTCTTACATCCACTGACGCAGAGTCCATCTCATTCTTATCTCTATGTATCCTTCTGTTTTCTTATTTTGTTTGGTATTTCCTTTTTCATTCTTCTCGTGTTTCCTTCTGTCAGATCTGGTTTAGCATATTTTTGCTTCCCTTTCTACCTGTCATTTTTTCTATTATATTTTGCACATTTATTTCTCTTATTGGTTCTTCTGTTTCTTATCTCTCGTCTTTTCCTCTGAGTCTTAATTATTTTTTTTACTCTTACCGTGTGTTTGTTATTGTCTTTTACTTTCAGAATATTGCTCTCTCTTTATTCCTTTTTCAAATTATTTCATATTTTTATTACTCTCTGTTTTCTTTCACTTTAACTTACCTGAGCCTCCTATGTTTCTCACTCATTCTTCTTTTATTGTTCTTTTCCTCCTTGTTATCGTCGTAGTCCTCCTCCTCCTAATCCTGCTCGTCGTCCTCCTTCTCTTTCTCCTTCTCCACATCCTCGTCCTCATCCTCCCTCTCTTTCTCCTTCCTGCTCCTCGTCATCATTCCTCTTCCTTTCCTACCTCGTCCTCGTTTTCGTTTTCGTCTTCCTCCTTGTCTTCTTCCTATTCGTCCTGCTCATTGTTTTCGTCCTCTTCCTCCTTCTCATCTTCCTCCTCCTTTTCCTCCTCTTCTCCTATTCCTGCTGTTTTACATTTTCATCTTTCTTTTCCTCTTCCTCGTCTTTCATCTCTTCCTCTTTCTTTTCCTCTTCTTCCTCGTCTTCCATCTCTTCCTCTTCCTCCATCCCTCTCGTGCTCTCCTCTACACATCCTTTTCCCCTCTTCCCCACGTCTTCCACTACTACAGCCTCCTCTTCCTCTCCCTTCTCTTCCCCTTACACTTCTTCTCTCATTTCTGTATCACCACCTCTCCTAGCTTTTCTTCTTCCATGCCACACCTCCTCCCACTAAAGTTGCCAATGGCAGGGGTCATAAATCTCTCAGCCACATTATGATGTAACCAGCCGGGTCCCCTGAGCTTAGCAGTCAGTTGACTTCACCTAACTGCTCGGCATCAGCACATATACGCTGAGAGAGTTTCCCTATTTTGGGGATTAAAACATTCCTGACTTTTGGAGAACAGCTTACAAGCAACCTTCATGACCCTCGTGTAGCAGAAAGGCTTCATACCCAATTAACCAGGAAATTTATCTACTCTTATCACTTACGTTTTTTTTTCTGTATTTGTCCACTGTCAGGTAGTAATTATTTAACGTATTTAACACTTGGGGCATTTATATCATAACATTGCCTTTTATTCTTTGCATAATGAGCTTTTTGGTTATTACTTTCGTAAGACAGTCTCATCTTTACTATTGGTACGATGAGAGTCGTGTTTCGTTCTGAGTGATTACGCGAAAATTGCCTTAAAATTTGCACTAGATTTGAGGGGAAGTTTAAAGCAATTGTAGCAGATGAGTTTCATGAGGTACGTGGTGTGTTAGTTTTGCAGTTTTATTCTCTTTCACAGGAATTCTTTTTTTTTTTTTCCATGACCTTCTTGCATCCTCTCCCCCACTCCCCCTCACTCATCCCCCTCACTCACTATTTAATTAGCACCTCAGCCTTAATCTCAGTCATCGTCTCGTTCTCTCTCTCTCTCTCTCTCTCTCTCTCTCTCTCTCTCTCTCTCTCTCCTCTCTCTCTCTCTCTCTCTCTCTCCTTTCTCTCCCTCTCTCCACTCTCTCTTTTTTTTCATTCGCAATTTGCAGCTCGTTACGTCTCGCAATGTATATGTTCATCTGTAATTGGCAGTAACCAGTTGGATGCGTTATATATATATATATATATATATATAATATATATATATATATATATATATATATATATATATATGCATATATATATATATATATATATATAATATATATATATTATATATATGATTAAAATATATATAATATATATATTATAAGCAGTGATGAGCTGAAGATTAGGTGATCAGTCCATCAATGTTAAAAATGTTGACAAGCATTTTTGACTGCCTGTCTGTCTAGCTGGCCAATTTGGTGGCTCTTTGCCAGTCTGTCTGGCTGCCTATCTGCTTGTCTGTGTGGATGCTTGCCTGTTTGTCTGCCTGGTTGTTTATTTGTTCTGTCCTGTTCTGTCCTTTGTCAGTTTCTCTGTCTGGATTTGCAATCCGGCTGACTGGATGCTGTCTGGCTGTGCTGTCGTGTGACGTAAGATTGCTACTCATTTTCGTTTATGTCTTTTGTCTGTTTATCGTGTTGCTCGTTGTGTGTGTGTGTGTGTGTGTGTGTGTGTGTGTGTGTGTGTGTGTGTGTGTGTGTGTGTGTGTGTGTGTGTGTGGCTTTGTTTGTACTTACCTATATATGGTTGGAGGGGTTGATTCACAGCTCCTGGCCCCATCTCTTCGTTGTTCGCTACTAGTTCCCCTCTCTCATGATTCAAGAGCATTATCGCACCTCTTCTTAAAGTTATTTATGGATCCTGCTTCTACCAATTCACTTTCTAGGTTGTTCTAATTTCTGACAACTCTCAGGCTGAAGAAATACTTCCTAACATCCCGAATGTGTGTGTGTAGGGGGGTTTACATGTTTTTGTATGGGTTGAATCATAGCTCCTTGCCCTTCCTTTCTCTTGGCCGCTACTGGGTTTCATTTTCTTCTGACTGCGTGAACTGTCATGCCTATTCTTAAAACTATGTATGGATTCGAGCAGAGCTTTCGTGAACCTAAGACCCGTCTCTCCCACACTCTCCCTGTCCACCCTATCAGTTCCTCTCAGTATTTTGTATACCTTAATCATGTCACCTGTGGCCCTTCTGTCCTCTAATGTAAGCTTAGGGACTAGTCTTGTTGCTAACCTTTGCACTTTTTCCAGCTTGTTTATTTTATCAGATGCGGGTTCCATAATGGCGCTGCATACTCTAAGATGAACCTGACGTATGTTGTGTAAATGACCCTGAATGATTCTTTGTTGCAGTTTCTGTGAGCTGCTCTTAGATCATACACACACATACAAACACACCCACACGAGTACTCGATCCCTGCCTGTGGATGCAGGGATCGAGTCCCAGCTCCTGGCCTTGCCTCTCCGCTGGCCGCTACCTAGTTTCTTCTAGCTGCGTGAGGCTTACTGTAACCTTAGACCTATGTATGGAACCTGCTTGTACCCCCCTTCATTTTCTAGGTCGTTCTGCTTCCTGGCCAATAAAGCTAAAGAAGTATTTCCTAACATCCCTGTGACTCATGTGTGATTTTAACTTCCAGCTGTAGCCTCATATACCCGAGACCCATCTCTCCAGCAAACTTACTCTGTCCACACTATCAATCCTTCTCTGTAATATGTATGCCGTAATCATATCCCATGTGGTCCTGTCCTCCAATGTCATCAGGTTTAGCTCCTTTAGCTTCTCTTAATAGTTCATACCCTTTATCTCCAGTTTCCTGATATGCTTTACCAGATGTGGTTTCATATTGGTGCTGTATACTCAGAGATGAGCCCGACAGACACAGTGTATAAAGTCGTGAATGACTGTTGACGTTCCTCAAAGTTATCCTTAAATTCGTTAGACTCGCGTTTGCTGTGGCAGTTATTCGGTTGATATGCAAATCGGGTAATATATATGATGCTACATTTACCCTAAGGCCCATCTCTTTGAGGGAGGTTTGCAGCCTCTGTATCCCGAGCTTGTACTCAGTTTCCGGTCATCTTTGCTTGGATTGAATTCTAGTAGTCTTACGTCAGACCAGTCCTGTGGCTGGTCCAGATTCATTTGTTGTCTTTCTTGGTCTGCTCATCTTTGTATTCTCCTCGTTAGCATCACGTCATCTGCGAACAGGGACACATCTGACTCAGTTTCTCCTTTCATGTCGTTTATGTACACAAAAAATGATACTGGCCTCAGTTTTGACCCTTTTGGAACCCCACTCTTCACTCTTCCTCATTCTGATCGTTTCACTGCCAACCTCTGAAGTGTTTCAGTTTCTTGCCATACTTGATCAGGTTTGCCTTCCATGCTGCTCCTGTGTGTACTCACCTAGTTATGGTTGCAGGGGTCGACTCATAGCTCATGGCTCCGCCTCTTTACTGGTCTCTACTATGTGTGTGTGTGTGGTGTGTGTATCATGTACCTACACATAGTACACCACATCGATTCTAACCCCCCACCCCCCGTCAGGCACTTACCACAGCCATCCCCTGCACCCACCCGCTCACCCATCCTTACGTTCTATTTCACCCACCCGATTATTCCGCCCTTCCTTCTACCCATCTACTATTCATGCCCTTTCTACCCATACACTCTAATTTTCCTTTCCACCCACGCATAGGAATGAATTGGTTATAACCATAACCATAATTTTTAAAGGGGTGAACGGGTAAGCCAGCGGAAGTCCTCGGCCAGATGACCAAATACTCCAGCGGCGGGTCATCGCATGACTAAGACCCACGTCAGGAAACAGGACTAGTGTGTCCTGACCGCCCACGTATCCTGTAATCTCTTCCTACCTGTTTATAT